GCATGTGTATACATCCAGAATGAGTATTTACACATCCTATATTATTTTAACAAATGTGTGCCACATCCCCACCACATAGTCCAAACTCCCACACTATTATTTGGGACATTTAAGGCACACCTAAATGTTTATCGGTAACGTGTCTAAAACTATTTTATTACCAGCATTGAAATGACAATAAAAGTGTATCTACAGATCGTCGTTCCACATCACCTTCCCTTCTTCCCATATTCAAAAACATCACTTCACAGTGTATATCACAATAATGTTACACTGGGGGACCAGGAAAGCTCCAAATCCAAGTGAGAGGAATTGTGTCTCCCATTCAACATCCTGGAGCCCGGAGTGATTAGGTTGTCTCCAGCACAGAACCCCCTGTGTGCGGCGTCATTTGGCTGTGGCTTGCATCAACCCTCCATAGGGGACCAAAAGTCGCCAGGCTCTAAGGGAAGCCAGCTTGATTCTGATATGGGTGGAACTTCATGTTCAAGCCTCTGCTGATGCCAGTTTTGGGGTTCTGTAACCTTGGGCACACCTTTTGGCACACCCTAAGGACTATTTACAGTCCAATAAAAGCACAAGTTCTAAGGCAAAGTACATTTCTTTTTAAACATTACAAAGCTTTCTTAAGATTAAGTTTGGTTTTAACACAATATGTTCCTTTTAGTATATACAGCATATCAAGCAAGTCTGCAAATATAACTTTTTTACATTCTTCTGAGAGCTACACTAGAAAAGTGCAATGGATCTGCCGGTTCTGGGTTATTGGCGGTTGCCTGACTAACCTGCACCAGAGATTCATTCAAAAATGGCATCACATGTTCGGCTGTCACTATATATGATCTGGTTTCTCCCTAGGTATCAAAGAATGGAATGACCAATTCTGTGTTTACCCTCTACGAGCTGATCAATGGTGATGAAACTGAAGGTGAAGGTATGGATGCTGCTTTCTGTGCTTGAAATGAAGGCATTTGGTTTTATTCAGTATAAGAATGTTATGCTAACCCACCAACCATGTCATACCTTAAGTCATGTCCTGGAACAGGTATGTAGATCAGGAAAGATTCTGTCTTCATAGTATGGGTTAGTGCGACAGCCAGGCCACTAACATTTTCAGGAGAGGTCAGCAATGTCAGCCTTTGTTTTCTTCAAAGTGACTCTGTACTAGGGATGCACCGATACCGAGTACTCGCAGGAAACCTGGACGGGTCATGATTCACCACCCGACTTCATGATAATCTGGGCACACCATACCGGTACTTGGTATCCGCAAGTACCGGAAAAAAATACCGTCAGTACTGGATACTGAAAAAACGTTATCAGTGCATCCCTACTCGGCGCTCTAGTCCCCCCAAAAAACAATTGGAGCAATACTGCTGAAGCTGAAAGATGCCGGTGTTGGGGTCTGATGATTGATCTGCTCAGGCACGCAGCAATATCTTGGGAGTGTGTCCTTCTCAGTACTGTTTCTCTGGTGGGACTAAGGCTGGTAAGGTGACCAGGGCAAAGTAAGATCAGTCATCATAATGTTGCCGATTTATTACTTGAATTGAATTTCCCTGAATACAGAAGTATTTAAATCCAGGGAATCACTCCTGAATTACTATTGATTTGAATTGTGATGATTGTTCGTTAAAAACATTTTTGCTCTATTGCTTTGGTCCTAATACTTGTATATTATTTGTTACTCAGAATTCCATGGACTGGATGAATCCATGCTCATGAAATCCCTGGAAGCCCTTCAGTTGGAACACAAAGCAGAGATCTTTACGTTAAATGATAGCAAAGGTGTGAAGTTCTTTTGATAATTCTTACTTCCAGGTGGCATTAGCAGTCCCTTTAACACAGGATGTGTGTGTGTATATAAATATATATATATTCTTGAGGTCACAGATTTAATCTCCCAACATCGATTCTTTGGTATGTACAGAATAAATCCACTTTTTCAACTGGTGTGTGGGGTTTTTTTTTCATGGAGTGCACCAACATGGATTGTATAAATGTGACCTGTAAATATAGATTTATAGGAGGAGCTCTACCCCAAGCCAGAGTGGGCTTCGGATTTCTGTACTCGCTGTGAAATCCTTTTCTTGGAGGGACACAGGAAGTCTTTCAGCTTCAGGTTATACTGTCACCTTGAGGAAGATAGGAAACTGACAAAAGAAAAAAAAAATAGGCCAGTCCAGGGTCTAACCAAGCCCTCCTGCTACCAACATGCCTCAGTTGTGCAGGAAAAGCAGTACCTAGAGCATGATTAGAAACACACATGGGTGGAATTTATGTCCCTCCATTGATTTAAATAAAATGTTTGTTTTGCCTGAAGCTGGCATCAGATGAATTAGCAACTTCCACCTGATAGAACATATAAACAGAAGACCAGGTGGTAGTCCTGCAAATTTGGGAAACAGAAGCCTCGTGCTGAAACGACTAATAGGCACTCACTGCCCCCGTGGTGAGATCCTTAACTGGAAGTTAGAGGGGGACCAAAACCTTAAAGTGACATGAAACCCTCAGATTTTTTAACATAAAACAATACTGTAATGTGTGCCTTACTGTAATCCATGGTTGTTCCCCTTCTCTTTGCTGCTCTTCCTTTTAAATCCTCATGTCTTCTCATGCTTGGGAAGAACTTCCCTTTTCAGCTCAGGGCCTCTTCCTGTAGTGCTGGCTCAGGTTACAAGCCTATAGAAACGTATACACAGACACCGTGTATCCATTCCTGAGACAAGGTAGTCTGCGGCAAAACAGAAGTTCTCCCCCAGCATGAGAACAGATACAGATTTAAAAGGAAGAGCAGCAAAGAGAAGGGAGACCACCATGGATTACCGTAAGGCGCACATTACACTATTGTTTTATGTTAAAAAATCTGAGGGTTTAATGTCACTTTAAGACCATAAGCCTGACCGATGGTCTCTCTCTAAGCCAGCTGGAGATGGTGGAATTAAAAGCTGTGGTGCCTTTCCTAGGCCTGTCTGGGAAAAGAAAATATAACTTCCTGAAATAAAAACTGTCACAGCCCAAATCATAGCCAAACAATGGAGGGAAATGTTGGTGAACTGAAGCTCAACAGAAAAATCGATAAACAATGTCCTGATGAAAGTGGAAAGCAGAGACTACATTGGGAAGAAAGGAAGTCCTAGGTCCCAGTACCACCTTGTGCTTCCTCTCAGACACACACCTAGCTAAGGTGACGGCCACAAGAAATACAACCTTGTGGCTCAGAAAGAGAAATGTTTCCAATAGGTTCAAATTGGGGCTTCTGAAGTGCTGAGAGAACAAGATTCAAATTCCACAAAGAGGAAGGAAATTGTACTAGGGAGACCACCTGCACACAAAGGTCTTTATAAGATAGTGGGAAGCCAAAAGAATCAGAATAAAAAGAGCTAAAAGTCTGTTTAAAACCCAACGGCAGAGAAGAGAGGATCTTTCCCATGGAAAAACTCTTGGGTTGAAAGCCCTTAGACCTGTGAGCCGGTACTATGTGGCCTGTAGCCAGGTGACAAGTCAGGTACACGGTCACGGACCGCATACCTTACTTGCGGGAGCAGCTACACGGTCTGCATCTCTATCGGATGCAGACCACAGAGCTAATCCTCCAGATACTCGAATCCTTTCGGCTGGAGCTCAGTTCTGAGCTTCGGCCAAAGGATGTATTAGTGAGGTCTGCAGCAGACCTCACTAATCACCACTAGAGCACCAGGGATCAATCGTGCCTCTTCCCTGCAAAAAGGAAAGCAGGAGAGAGGGCTCTGTATTTTATTTTTATATGTGGGGGGTGTATTTTTTTGTATGTATATGGGTTGGGGTAGTTTTTTTAATGTATACAGGAGGGGGGGTCATGTAAACGCCTGCACACCGCATGTAAAGATATGTCATATGATTACATTTGGTTAGGAATCAGTCACTGTCCCTGGACGCATCGATTGTGCAACCAGGGAGAATGTTTTCTAACATGCGGTGTTCAGGCGTTTACATGCAGCGGCTATCACCTGATCATTACCTTGAATAGGTGACAGCTGCCACTTGTAAACACCAGATTAGGCATTCCTGCTGCAGAAGACTGGCTGCATCGAAGAATCATGAGGGCCCCAGAGGGCCTACAGCAAAACGTAGTGAGCATTGATGAGCTGGAAAGATGGACATGTGTAGGTGAAAATCGTATGTCTACCAAAGCAAAGAAATCCCAGTGGTGAAGGAAAGCGATTGGGATTAGCATTAGTTAAGTTAGGAAAGAAACCTTTCTGCAGCAGTAACTGGGGCTATGACTGCTGGGTCTAAAAGGCTGGAGAGTGCCCGAGGGAGATCTGCAAGTAGTTGTGGGGATATGTGAAGCTGTGAGGTAAGATAAGGCTACAGAAAAATATACAAGTTTGTATCCCTAAAACACCACCTATGCACCCAGGCATCAGCAATGCAAGACATCAAGGTCAACAGATGTCCCCACACTCTAGAAAGCAGGGACAGAGAATTCAGGCGTGTCAGAGAATTAAGCAGACCCTGTGGCTGGATGGGGAGCCATCCCTGGGATACCACGCTATCAAAGCTAAGGGTGAGCTGAAACAGGAACACCTCTTGGCAGGCATGGATAGGAAAGACTAAGTCTGCTCCTCAGGCTTCTTCCACTGGCAAAGATGATTGCTGCAGCATCCAGAACCGGTCCAAATAAACATGACTTGAAGGACGAATGGGTCAAACATTCTTTACAAGAAAGTTCTGCGTTCAAGAACTTTAACCACAATGCCCTACCCACGTGCACTTATAAGAGACGAATGCAAGACCAGAGGCTCCTCATAGGCCAGAGCAACTAAGGTCAATACCACAGACATCTGCTCCATGCGTTCAATGATCTCAGAGCTAATGAAAGCAGCAGTTAGATCCCTTTGGATCCATTAGTTATGGTTTGGCAAAGCAAAATTACCACCTGAATCAGGTGTAAGGCAGTCCAGCCAGAAAGAACATAGTTCTAAAAAGGACCTCCAGCTGTTTATCGGTTGAGTCCCTGAACACAGGAGCATTCTCTTGATAAGCCAAGAAACATCAGAATAAACAGTGGGAATGAATCACTGTTGAAGAAAATCCTCAGAGAATGGCTCAGAATCCACGAAGGCCACAGAAAATTGGATAAAGATTCCGCACAGTCGCACAATTGTGGCCAATGCAGTCAGAGTCTGAAAACAATTGAGTGTGGAAGTCCTGCATATCGGTTGTAAAGACCTTAGCCAAGAGGACAGCGGACCTTCTCTCACCCAAGGGAACCCCCAGAGGACTCAGCTGAGTGAAGAGAGTCCAAAATCAGAGAGCAGAATGATTTCATGCTACAGAAGTGTCTGCTATCAGGGAGCGTGCTGCAAGCAGTCCTCCACCCGTTGGTGGAAATCATGCTGGGGTCACCTGGTACAGCAGGAATGTGTCCCCTCCCCCATGTCTAGAATCAGACATGTTGCAGGTGCATTGTGGTAAGCAATGTACTGGCTCAAAGTGGACAACTATTAGCTGGTGTAAACAGAGATCTGGAGGATCAGGTGACCAAAGTCACTAGATGGACAACAGGAACAGATGAAAGCTCCCAATGGCTTTTTCCAGCAGGAAGATGACTCCTCAACACTAGCTGGGAAGAGCGTGTGACACCAGCACTCTGCCTTACAGTGTTAACCCCTTCCATGGCAAAGCCAGCAGGGTACAAGAATATAATGGTACTTGAATGGCCATGTCACTGAGTCACACCAAGTGCAGAGGCAATGTGAGCGCCACCTGGACGTGGAAAGAACTCCACAGCTAACAGACAGAACTGATGTAGAAAGCACTCACACGGAGCCCAATGCCTGAAGGCCCCATCCAGGCCCCGGATACCTGAGTCAGTAGGACAGTCTTGCTTGAAGATTAAAAAACGTTGCCGTAAAAATCACAGGTTTGTCTTTAAACCAAGAGAGCTGAGAAAATGGTCATCCATCCTCCTAGAACACTAGCAGAAAACCGAGGCATGCAGGTAGTAGGAGGTATTATACCCTGGCCTGACCTACATTTTTTTTATTGGCAAGGGTACACCTGTAAGTGTCAGTATAACCCAAAGCTTTAAGATGTCTTGTGTCCCTCAGATGTCTTGTGTCCCTAACCCTAAGGCCTGGTTCGCGGTACAAAAATTGCGCGTTTCCGAGGGCTACTTGGCTGTATCCCAATGGAAACGCGCAACAAAAACGGCCCAAAGTAGTACCGGCACCTTTTCAGGCGTGGGCCGTTTTGTAGCGCGTTAGGGACGGGTGGAAATACGCCGAGGTGGGAACGAGACCATTGAATACAACGGGATTTATATGTTTGAGCGTTTTGTAGAGCGTTCGTAGAGAGTAGAACACGCTACAAAACGTTCAGGTGTGAACGAGGTGTTAGAACATTTAAAATAAAAAAAGGGATTAGCTGATTTGTTGCACTGTCCTTCGCAGTTTTTTTTAGATAGTTAACCACCTGAGGCCTGGTTCACACCTGTACGTTTTGTAGCGCGTTCAACACTCTACGAACGCTCAAACATGAAAATCCCATTGTTTTCTATGGGTATGGTTCACACCTTGCGGTATTTCAGCCCGTCTGAACGCGCTAGAAAACAGCCTACGCCTGAAAAGGTACATGAGCTTCTTTGCTGCGTTTTTGTAGCGCGTTTCCATTGGGATACAGCCAAGTAGCCCTCAAAAACGCGCGTTTGGCACGCGGTTTTTTTTACCGCGAAACGCGCGACAAACTTGCATATTCGAACGTGCATACGCGAACAGAGCCTTACAGGCTGCCTTGTGTTTAGAAATCATTATTGCCACAATCTACCTTCAATCTCCTAGATTCACACAGAGTTGGAGATGTTCTCCTGAAATCATTCCCACGAGTAAGAGAACTTACAAACCTGATTCCATGTCACATTGATTGGAACACAATGAAGTGGCGGGTAGAAGCCTCCAGGCCGGGCAAACTGGGGATTTATTTCCAAGGACCTGTCGCTTTGAACGGGAACTCTTTGAACCATTAGGAAGCCATCTGTGCAACTTTTTATATATATTGTATTAAGATGCATTACAGGGTGGTCAAAACGTCCCTGCAGATCTCTCCTGGTCCATGAGGACAAGTGTTCCATCATTTGTTTGGCAATAAATATTTGAGTTCTTTGTGTTGCTCTGAATCTGAATTCATGTTTTTTTGGTGTGAAGAAGACCCAGATCTGTTCTGTTCTGGATGGCTGGAGCTTCAAATTTGTTGATAGTTTTAATCATGCAGTGACGTTTTCAATTATCAGTATTCTGTCCTCATGTCCATACTTTTATTTCATATATGGGACGAATATATATACACACACACACACAGTCCCAGAATGCTGAAAATATACGTCTCACTCGTGCTGTGGAAAAACCATTGTTTGACATAAAATGGTCACCATACCAAGCTGACATCAGTGCAATATTTAAAAGGTTAAAGGCTGCTTTAGCATCCTGTGGAACTGGAAGAGCCAGCCCCAGGCAATGACAGGGTTAGCATAAGATACAGTTACTATAGGAATGCCTTCTCGGCTCTCCAGCTAGCAGATCATTACAACATATGTGATGCAGTCCAAGCAACATTCCCCTTGGGTCACTTGTTGTAGAACTGTGAGGAAACCCATGCAAGCCCCCACTTCAGATTTGTCAGCATAAACTTCAGGGCCTTGGTCCACTGCTCCTCAGAGTTGAATTGGGTCTTGATGGAATAGGATCCTCCACTGCAGCCAGTGTCTTCGATTTTGCCCTTTTCAACATCCATTCTGTCAGAAAATAAAAAAAAAAGAAGAATCTTGTTACTAGCTGGAGAGTCATTTTGGGTCTGGAATGGATAGAACAACCGCAATCATATATTAACATAAGTAACTGGCATGTTTCTAAAGACGTTTTCCAGCAACTAAGTGGAAAAATAGGATTCTTGTACTCACACTAAAAATCCTTTTCCTGGAGTCTATTGAGGGACACAGAGATCATATATTGCCATCCACAGCAGGATTGGAAACTGGCAAACAAAAAAACTGTATGTAGGCCAGCCCAGGATAACCTCTCCTCTACCCAGCATGCCTCAGTTAGTAGCAATCAGTACTGAGAGCATGAACAGAAAACAGAGAAATGACATTTGCGCCCTACAATGGGGGAAAGGGTTTTTACAGCGAGTACATCTTAAAATTATTTTAGGATTCTTGTCTTACCTGTAAAATGCTTTTCCTGGAGTACATTAAGGGACACAGGGGGGATTCAGGTACTTTGGGTTATAAGCAGGAGACTGGACTCTGGCAAACAGGTGAGAAAGGTCAGTATAGTCTCTTCCACTACCAACTCAACCTAGTGAGCGACAGTAGCAAGGGGAACGTCCGTGTTAGCTTCAAATAACAGTTTCTGGAGACCGACAGAACCAGGCTGGGATCCCACAGGGAAAATGATGACACCCTGTACAAAAGCCAGGGAGTGAGAGGCAACCAGTCTGAGATGTGACACTTGGTGATACTCAAGGCTAGACTAGAGAAAAGACAGAATTCATCCCACAGACTATTTCCTGGGATGGAATTTCTTTGCCTTGCACCATGAGAAATACGTTTTTAAAGGTGCGATGAAGTCTTTGCGATTTCCTAACATATAAAAGTTTAGGGATAACTGAATCCGTTAAGACACCATCCTTTAGGACGTAAGCTTCAACAGCTAGGCCGAGAAGCGGGGTACCAACAATGGTTATGGCCCCTTGAGAAAAGAGCTGCACCAGGGAGATCCACACTTCTTCGCAGGGACATTGGCAGGTTGGATAACCTTAAGTGGGGAGGAGATAGACTTTGAAATTCTAGTTTGTAGCCCCCGGAAACCACATTCTAGACCCAAATGTCTCTCATTTGTTGGACCTAGGTGACTGCAAAGGCCAACAGATGTCCCTCCACTGCAATAAGTGGCCACAGGGAGGAGGACTTGCTGGCGGATTTGGGCGTGCAGGATAGAACAGAGTCCTAGGTTCAGCCTGGGATGTGGAGGCCTGGGAGAAATTAAAAGAACTCTTTTTTTTAAGACTCTGAGATAGAAGTTTTACCAGTATGAGGCTTAGCATTCTTTGTTGGTGCAAAAGGGGTGCCCTTGCCCCTGGGGTCATCCTGCAGAAAGGTGTCCAGAGGTCATATGCAAGAGGCATTTGGTGCAGTAATGTTACATAGACCAAAATTTGATCTGAACGGTCCTCCACATGCGAGCCAAAAGGAGACGACTCCTGGATATTACACAAATAATATCTGCCAACCCATCAACACAGTAAAGAAGGGTCACAGGCATAAGTACCAATTGCTGGAGGGTTAGGGGTTAGGGATCTGTGAGGACAGAACCAGGATTCTGACATATCTTTGGACCAAACACTCAAGGCCTTGCAGAAAGACATAACTGCAATGGCAGGCTGAAGTGCAGGGCCACCGAGGGAGAATATTACCTTGAAAAGGAATTTAGGACTTTGATCTTTAAGAGTTTTAGTGTTTAAACACTAGAATGCCCTCTACAGGGACAGCGAGGGTTTTTTTATGACAAGGAATGGCCAGATCCGCTATGAGGAAAGTCCACTTTTGAAGGAACCCCTCCTCGATAGAGTATTGCTGAGTAAAATGGTTGGGTGGAGTAAAGATTCTTTCAGGATTAGGCCAATCATTATATAAAACAGGTTACAATGAGTGTACTAGAAATGTTTTCACAGGCGGGGCACTCTCACGAGAACCCAGGCTGGTAACCTTGGGTGTGCCCGATGCATATTGTCCAACGTCAAGACACTTTATTGGAGCTTTGTCAGAAGACTGTGACTACTCCTTAACCCCAAGGGGGGAACGATGGGCCTCAGTCAACCTCTCCTTGGGCCTCCTGTGCTGGGTAAGAAGTACACTCCTGTAGGACCAAAGAGATGACTACCATCCCGAAGGCCAAGCAAGTTAGATAATCCTTGGATACAGCATCAGCGTCCCATCACCATGAACAGAGTCTTCTTTGCATATGTATAGACATCAAAACCATGCAGGACACAAGCTTAGATTTGTGCAATAAGAACATTAGAACTAAATCGTAAGGCTCCAGATATCGGTTCCACATTGCTTAATCAAAAAGGGGTCTACCCCAGCAGTTGAGAAACCCTTTGAGGGATCCAACTCACTTTGCAGATTAGGAACACAGTCAACACCGAGAGGAGAGCAGAAACTAGCAGAGAAAACTGGGATGTATCTGAGGTTATGGCGGGGGGGCTTTCTCAGGTCTCTTTAGAGATTAGACTTTGGGGACTCGGAATCAGACTCTAATGTCAGATGGTCAGAGCGACTGGTAGCCAGGCCTGTTCTAAGGCTTTGGGAAAATCAGGTCCAAGTCCTGAGTGACTGCAGTAGAGGCCCCCAACAACATGGTAGAGGAAATAAAAAAGAGACTCTGATGGTGTAGACCCTATATCTATGGAGTCACTGGTATCCAGATTGCAGGCATTGGTTCCCTCAGATGATTCCAAATAAATAGACAACACCAGAACTGTTAGAAGAGTATGAGCTGGGGTCACCCAAAGCAGTGGGACTGTCACCTCTGTGTCTATGTGCAGAAATGTGGAGCCCGGGTGGGTGATGCAACTAAGCCCAAATGACAATTACTTTACTCACAAACCCTGGCAGCTGGTAAAGATCGGTCCAGAGGTGACCAGGTCACGGTAGGCGGCCATTACAAACAAATTGAAAATCAGCATTCCATGTGGTGCCTGCAAAGCATGAACAGCAGAGGGATGGCGCGTTTTCAATGCCAATCAGCAGGACAGAGGTTAGTAAAAATGTTCGATTTGTTTCAGTAGAGCTGAAGAAATGAAATCTATTCTCCTAAGACCCCTGAGGCATGCTGGGAGTAGGGGATCTTCTGGGCTTGCCAATAGTTCTTTGCCAGTGTCCTGTCCTCCTGTAGATGTAAATATAATCCAACAGTATCCTTTGTCTCTTAATGGTTGAGAAAGAAATGATCAATTAAGGTCCCTCCACTTTCTCAGGGACATTACTGCCCATGTATGTGCAATATACCTATAGCTGTGGCAATGGACTATATTCCAGGGTCGTATAGCTGTAGGCAACAAGTATTTTTCCCCCCCGATCCCAATGCTAAAAGTCAAATACCATTCTGCGGGAGGGGACTCCAATCTTCTCCCCCTTCCCGCTGGAATACCTCCACTTTGCCTTGTGGGTCCACCTGCTCAATCACTGTTGTCCTGTAGGGTGCCCTAAAGTGACATGGGGGCTGGCAGGTGGAACCACAGCATGAAGTGGAGGACATGTTATCCAACACACAAACCTATCAGATACCAGCGATGGACCTGCAAGAGAGCAAAGACTTGAGTTGCTGTCGGTGAGAAATGCAAATTATTAACATTCTCCTCTGATCATTACGCAGCAATTAGGGTTACTATTTATTTTATTTCAAAATATGGGCTTTACATACAAAGATATTCTGCTTCCTTTCTGGTTTTAAACTTTTGTAATCTTTGTCTTACGTAATTGGTATATTTTATTATCATTAGCCCTGATGAAGGGGAAACATATCCCTGATACACCTCCTTTGATCCATTGCTGTATAGAGCGTTCTCTAGGACACCTCCCCATGGATCTGATCTCGCATTCCCATTATATGGGTTAAAAACAATAAATAGTGCAAAAAATAATGAGTGTGTATAGAGCACAGCCTACTATACGGCCACATTTCAATTTACTGACCGGTATGGAAGACAAAATCCAGTATCCCCTCTTTCCACTTCTTCCTTAAACTGCTGCACACAGTCCAGAAATGCCACCATTGCGTGGTCAAATTTGTTGTCCCAGAAAAATCTTAAACCTCCTGAACAGTAAAGGGGGAGCTCCTGGTAAAGAAGAGACAATATGGACAGATAATGAATGCATTACATGAGATGGAATACAGAACTAAAGCTGACCATACATGAATAGGAATCCT